AGTGTACTCCAAGGGGTAAGTTAGTTCCCGTAATAGGTCAAGCTTCGTGCAAATCCATCAACGTCACATTTTATTTAATCCCTTATGAAGGTTATTGAAAAATATCATATCGTGAATTGTACAGATTTAAAATATCTATTATAGGCTAGATATTTGATACGATGGCCTGTTAGATTCTGGAGAAAATGGATACAAAAATAATTTCTCCATAAATTTTGTAAGTATTCCTTGTTAAAATATTTAACTAACTCTTTCCCTTTTAAATAATTTTTTTTCTGCTTTAGCATACTCTTTTTCAATCTAATATTTTATAGAAAATATTTTTACAAAATATTTAATATAAAAATTGCTTATTCGGTATTTTAATTATATTTTCATAATAACAGAAAAATTTAATATTGTTGGGTAAATAGCAGGCTTGAAGTTGGATAAAACTTGTATTTTTAAAAAGCTTCAGTATCATCGAAATTTTTACTGTCGATAGCTTTTCAGTTCATTTAGATTTCTTTCCTTTGCAACTTTTGAATTAAATGTCATACGGAACTTTTATTTTTTAAAATCGTTTATATAAAAGTTCTATCGATTTCGCTAAAAATTCGATCTGAAAAATGACCTTTTTTTCACAGCTACTCAAACAAAGGAACCATCAGAATAACGTGTAATTCATTTAAGGCAAAATAAAACTCTGATCTAACATAAGCCTAATTACTGTTTCTTTTTCATTCAACGGAACTTTTTTTGAAGAACTTCAGTTTATAAAAGATAATTAATCTTTTATCAAAACCTGAAAATTCATTAAAATTTTAAAAAAAAAATTTAAGTACTTTTGTTGCAAGTACTTTTTTCCTAAAAGGTTTTACAAAATCTGTTTAAAATGAAAATTTTTCCTAAAACGTTTCACGGAAACTGTTAAAATGGAACTTTTAAAAACAATTTCCATAAAAGTTTCAACTCCTGAAAAATAGCATAATGTATCTCAGTTTTAATAGTGTTAACGTTTTTGTAGAATTTTAATTAAAATAACTTGAGTTTTAATTACTTTACCACAATTTTAGAGATGAAATTATTATTAAACTTTTCGAAATTATTGATTAGTACTGAGAAGTTACTTAAAAAAAAGTTTCTTTTGTATATTATTGCAACATTATATGAAGAAAGACTCTATTGTGCCAGCTTCAACTTTATTTGATATTAGATGTTTAATTAGAATTACATTATTTATTTGATTTTTCGCAAATATCCTGACAATAACTTTTATGGTGAGGAGAGCCTTTTGAACTCTAAATATAACCGATTGTTTAAAAGGCCGAGATTAATTATAAAATAAATATATAAGTAAAAGTCTAACCTTGGCTAGTAAGAAAGATTTTATTAAGTTCATACATCATAAATCCTTAATACCACGGGCGGATCTACGGGGAGGAGGGGGCTTTGGGGCTGAAGTCCTAGTACCCAAAATGGTAAAATGTAACCATGTTTTATGGAAAAAAAAATATTAAAAAATTATCTCTTAAAGTATAATTGTTAGTGTAATTACATTTAAAAGGGATTTAGGAATCACTTAAACACCATTTCATGTAGGTAGTTAGTTTCTTTCTTTTTTTAAAAAAGTAATTATCGTTATTTTTATGAAAAAAAAAAGCTTTCGGGCTGAAGCTCCCCCTCCCTCAAAATTAAATCCTGGATCCGCTAGTGCTTACTACCATAAATACAGTCCACATAACATATATATATATATATATATAGAGGGTGTCCCAAAATTAACTCAAGATTTAAATTAAATACGAAACACAGTTTTTTCCTCTTTTTTTTTTCTTAGTCAATTTAAGAGCTCTTATAGTTCAGGGTTAGTAAAAATGGAGCGTTACACTAGCGAACAAAGTTAATTTAATTCTTGTCTTAATTTTGGCACACCCTTTATATATATATATATATATATATATATATATATATATATATACGAAATTTTTAAAGATAAACCATGTTGATAGGTTTTATTATATATACTTGGGTGATATTAGCACAGTGCGTTTTCATCGATATCGTAACTATGTATATTTCAATTGTACCTTACCTTATGTGCATATTATGTTGATTTTGGATCACGCAAAGAATCTTAAGATTATGCTATGTATTATTTGACGTATGCTGTTAATCATAATTTTGAAGTAAATTAAAAATATTTTTTTTCATTTTGTAGTGTTACTTCTTTCATTCTGAAATGATTCGCTTCGATAGTAATATGTCCAGGAAAGTTTTCTTTTTCACCCAGTTCGTATTTCAATTACTAAATAAAAAAAAAAAAATAACACTGGAAAAAAAACGCTAACCCAGTATTCCGACTGGATCTATTAAATCCAATTGATTAATCCTGCCAACATCAAACCTTAATGCGAGGCTACTTTTCTTATGATAATTTGAGCTCTCATTAGATCTGCTTAGTTCCTTAAATGAACGCCATTTGCTAAGGCTGTAGTTTATTTGACTACTAGCAATCAATCTGATAGATTATCGAAAGCGTATGGTTTGTAATCATTAGTATTTTTTTTTATTTTTTTATTCTATTGGGAAAATATAGTTGAATCGATTTCTGTCGACTTGCGAAATGTACTTGGTGTAATTGTACATGCGTATAAATTAGTAGTACTGCATTATACCAAATCTATCATTATCTAATTACTGTGATCCGAGAAAAAATATACCGTTATTTCCAATTTATGATCCTGTATAAATTTATATTTTCTCCTGTTTAACTTGCCTGATACGGCACGTTTGGTTTTGTTTCTAATTTAAAACAATTATTTTTCTTCCGACGGTCACATTTGGCAAATCTTTTTTTGGCAAGTTGGTTATAGCCGGGATCAATGTTAGGGTTAATATCAAGGTTTTTTTTTTAGATCATTATGGCTCTAAGACTACCTTATTAAGTGATTTTCTAATGCTGAATACACTTTTTTTAAAGTATTTCTGTTTCAACTATTATAAAAACATGGATATATATTAAGACTATTCCACTGATTAACCTAAAAATATTAATTTAACATATTTCCTCAGGGATTCGCGTAAATTAGTATTCATTCGTAAAACATTTTTGAGCTCCAAGATTTGCTCGTTTTATGCAATGATATCATCATAGGTTGTATAATTTTTCCCATATTGATTTTAAAATTAAAATTAATTAAAATCTGTTAAGGCTTGTCTAGTGCATAGAAGAAAAAAAAATGCAGCAATATCGAAGATAAAAGAGCGTACCTCATTCGGTCAGTACATTAATAAACAGCGTACATTATATCTAGTTTGCTGCATTTATCATTCTAACCTAAAACCATACATTAAAATCTGTGCTCGTTAAGTCTTTTACGATACTCTTGATCAAAAACAAGACAATAATTAAGCTCTTATAGCACATGTCTGCTGAAACCAGTTTTTGCATATCCATTTAACGTTCACGGTATCGCTTAATAGAAGCACTCAAACTTAGCCGATCGTTTTCATTAAGTTATAAAGACACAACTCCAAAATTGAGACCCCCCTCAGGTATAATATAATATTATATATATATATATATTAGTTCTCATAGCTCATAGATGTTTTTTTGTTACCTTATCTTCGTAAATGCTTCAACAAATCCAATGATTGTTCCATTTTTTTGGTCGGAAGTGTCTGGAGTTAAGTGATAAAAAACTTGTAAATCTAGTAAAATATCGAGAACATTTCCCGAAATTCATTATTCAGAAACTAATTAAAAATAAGGAACAAGTGAACATTTAAAATTTAGGTTATATAATTATAGCTATAAAAAAAGATAATTTATTACACTAGTTCTGTTGAAAACAATGTAGAGCATGAGTTTTAAAAGTAATTTTTGTATTGAAAATTACTTAACATTCATATTTACGAAAACCAAGTATCGACCAGTGCATTCGTACCCCTTACTACTCATATCATAATTAAATAAGGGAAAGAACAAAAGATTTCGATATGGCCGTGGCTGAAATGCTCATCAAGGGGCGACTGAAAAGAAATTGGATGAACGATCTACTGCCCTGAATTAAAGAAATAAATCAATTCAAGGAAGAGGTGCTACTGGATATTAGCTTCCTCACATACATAAAAAATTCGAATGATGATGAAAGAAAAAGAAAACTAAGGTTTGGGCTCTAGACCACACGATAGAAGTGAAAACATCAACACGGCGAGATATTATGAAATATAAATAATAAATAAAAGCTCATTTAAAAGAGGATGAAAAGTTTCTGAGATATTTCAATCCATATCATCAATAAAACTCGTTATCATTTGGTTTTCGACACTAATTTTTCCCATTTCGCCTCTTTAACACAGCATGGCATCATGGTACAATTTTGAATAATAGCTCATTACGAAGAGGATTAAATGATGAATATTTCTCCCTCTAACAATACGCTTGTCCGAATTTTATTTTTTGAGATATTTTAATCCCTACGAAAAATCACTTCAATTAGTCGACTTTACCGGCGCGTTACTCATCGGAGATCTGACAGCTCAATCCAATTCACTCTCTACAAAAAAAAAAAAGTGCAAAACGTGCTTATAGAATTTTTCACTTCAAAAATGTTTTTGTTTTTTTTTAAATATTTATTCAAGATATTTACAACTGTATTACAATATAAATACATCATATAACACTTGAAAACGCTTGTTGAGAAACTACCCACAGGTAGCACACTAATAGTATGTCTGCATAAGGAGATCACGAGGCCATCTTCTTTTCAGACGCCTCGGGGGACTTCAAAAATGTATTTCCGAAAAACCTAAGTTCAGACAACAAACTTTGGATAACGAGTCTCTGCACTTTTTTTTTTTTATTTTTAGTCACGGACTTGTTATTTAATTTCACTTAAAGATATTTACAATTAAACTTAGTAGTTTTTTTCATAAAAGAGGATGAATAAAAAAATGTTCCGATGGGTTTCGGTAGTAATCTAGGTTGGAGCTAGGAAGTGAACTGACTAATATTGTTACCAAAGGAACTTACACCGTGAACCTGAGCCTATACTTAGCCCCAGCAGCCGCCTCGTATTAATAGGCACGGAACATCCTCGTGGGGGATTTATCATCAAATAAGATACGGCCGTTCCCGAAAATGCTTTCATCTGTACCAACATCACCTGCTCCCGGCGTCGGTTCCGCCTGTCTTCAGGTGTTCTATCTTTAGCGGTTTGTCTCACCATTGGGTAATTTCGCACATCCTCAAGCTTCAAGGAGAGCTGTTTGTGAGATCTCATTTTGGATTCAAATATACCCTAGCCTTCATATTTTATCAAAGTTAGTTAAAACTGTATAAATCAAGCTGGGATTGCGTTTTTTTATTTTAGACATGTAACTGAAATCTTATACAATAATAATAATAATAATAATAATAATAATGCTTTCTGGGACGAGTCCCTTTAGAATAATATAAAAAGACAATAATATGGGCTAAGGAGCCTTAGAGATACGTAAACAAAAATATACAGTAATTAATAGTCAAAATAAAAAAAAAATATAGAAAAAATTATAAGTTACTTACTAATTTAGATCAGTTAAAAATAGAAATCAAAAAATTGAAAATAAACATGAAATAAAAATAGGAACGCTCTAATAATTTATACATTTCAGTAACTATTACATTTATTTCTACTAGTAAGAAGGAATAATTGGGTAGGGAAATCTGGGAGTAAGGGATAAAAGGTTTTAATAGGTTTCGGATATTGCTATTATGTGGTAAAAATTATCATGGAAATGTTCCTGAAATTCATTCTAGTGTGCAGTAAGGGATTGTGCATTGATGTGACAGGAATTCAGGATATTAGTCATGACTGGAGGGTTGCGAAGTAGGATTTTGGAAAAAAAAACAAAAAAAAAATGATAAAGGATGGAGGATAGGATATAGCATTTTTTTAAGCATAATGTCAAGTTTATAAATATAATTATCAAGGAAATGTTCCTGAAATTCATTCTAGTGTGCAGTAAGGGATTGTGCATTGATGTGACAGGAATTCAGGATATTAGTCATGACTGGAGGGTTGGGAAGTAGGATTTTGGAAAAAAAAAAAAAAAATGATAAAGGATGGAGGATAGGATATAGCATTTTTTAAGCCCAATGTCAAGTTTATAAATATAATTGAGGGCGGGGTGGCCGAATGGGCTAACGCGTGTGCACTGCACCGCCGTTGCCCGGCAACCGGATATATGAATCTATGATATGAAAATAGTCACGAGTTCGCGTCCGGTGCTAGAGGGGATTTTAAATTCCCCGCTCCCACCCTTTGGTCCGGGAAAATCCCTTATAGCCTAAAAGGCGAGGTAAGGAAGAACAGAAGAAAAAAAAAGTTTATAAATATAAAAAAACAATGCTTACATAAAATAAACAATATAATTACGTAATTATAAATAAGTATATTGATTTATTACTAATACATTCGTGTAAGCTCTCATATTTGTGATTATTTATAAAAGTTTAATTTTTATTGTTCCTTTAATAGCTGCATATAATCGTATTCCTGCCCACTTTGGAAAATGCATGCTTCTTTTTTAAACTCTGTAGTGTTTGATGCATGTAGTATCATTTATATTTATAGGTCTGAAAACTTATGCTTCACTCAGATTCTTCATTATTCTTTAAGTTCAATAACAGAGAGGTTCACAGGATATAGAGATTATACGGTAAAACGTTCTTGAGCGGATACTATAAACGAAAAAAAAAACCCGTTTATTCTCAAGAAGTTTAGATGTCACTGGAATTTTTATTGTTAATAGCTTTTCAGTTCTTATAGAACCGGAACTTTTCCCCTTGCAACTTGTAAAGTAAAGATATTATTGAATTTTTATTAATTAAATACGTTTATTTAAAAATACTGTCGATTTCGCTAAAAAGTCGATCTAAAAATGGCTTTTATTCATAGCCACATATTAGAATCATGTGAAATTCATTTAAGACAAATTATAACTCTAATCTAAGCCTAATTACGGAACCTTTTTTTTAAGAACTTGAATATATAATGTTTGTGTGGTTCAAATAAAATAAAGCATAATTATGTTTGAGAATGTCCGAATTCTCTGCCCATTTTGGAAAATGCATGCTTCTATTTAAAATCGGTAGTGTTTGACGCATGTAGTATCATTTATATTTATGTGTCTGAAAACTTTTACCACAAACCTGGAACTTTATTACGAAAATGTTGATTAGAATTTTCTTTTATTTTAAAATATTTTTCCTACAAAGTTTCATAGAAACTTTTAAAATGGAACTTTTAAAAAAAAATAATAAAACTATCAACCCTTGCTATAAAGTATTATGTGATATTTCTAAACTTTTATTTTTTGAAAAATATCATTTTTTTTTTTATAGGAAACTTCTTATCACTATTGTTTGGTTTAATCTCTTTCTTTTATAGTGAAAAAGAAAAACATTAATGAGACTGTTCGTAATAGTGCATCAAACTTATTTACTCCTAGTACTAATTTCAAAATGTGTTCAACTATTATAAAAATCCTTTATAAACTTAATAACATTCATTAAACTTGGTGTTTTTCCCTTTTTGTATAGAAGTATGTTTCATTAGTTTTGGAAATTATAAAGATGTTTGTTACTGTAGGTACATATTTCTTTTTATTAATAAACTTCACATTTATTTTTAAAATATTTTAAACAGTGTCCTATCGGCAATTCACATTGAATAAAAACACGGGGCCCGCCAACTAACACATAAGATGTAAATGTGCCCGCTGGTGAAAACATTTGTGAACCCTGGTCTATGTTAAGTCCAAAAATCTTAAAACTGTTTATTGAAACCGACATTTCAGTACACATCATATTGCCTTCGTCAGAGTGACTGAGGGATTAGGAATGGTCATTCGATAACCAAACATTAATAGTTTTCTCCTCATTACCATTGGTTATTTTTTAACGAGTTAACTGCCCTCCTCACTCCAGACCTCCATTTCTTTCCACTCCGAGACTGGAAATCCCCTGAAGAGTGAGATGTTGCCCAAGGCACAGCTGATTCCCATTCCGCGGCCATCGGCTCTAGCTGCCGTCCAGAAAACATCGGCCTGCCCTGGAAACCGTGGATTCCTCAGGAGATGTAATCGCTCGGGATGGCTGACCTTAGTTAGGAATTAGCATTGCTTATTCCGCCACTTTGGGAAAATGTCCTTCCCCTGTTCCAGTTGTGCAGAGAATGTAGAGGATCGTGGAGAGGAAGTTGAAATATATTTATCGCGGTCTTTAGCGTCAATTGATTTTTCTGTAAACCTTAGTAGTAGAAACATTCATTCATTTATAATCGCTCTTGGTCTGGTGCTCATGCATTTTGAGGTAGGATCGACAATTATTAAAGTAAATGAGTATATAACTATTTTATAGTTGATGTTGATTTATTTTAAATAGTTTTAAAATAACTCTTAAGCTATTTAGATTTTATAAAATACAAGTTATTCAGCATAACTAAATATACATATTCCATCAAATGTTCCTAATATTTGTTTGAGTATAATCTGCAACCACATATAGATTTTTCAAGTCTGTTTTACTTAAGTATCGCCAGTTCTTTTTTGTCACTTATTTAGAATTGTTATTTATTTAGCAAATAGACATACATGTTTTAATAATAATTATTATTAATCTTGTAGAAATGATGCCATAACCTGAATAATGAAGGTATTGTTTTGTTGAGATAGTGAAATTAAAAAAAAAAAATTGAACTTCTTAGATTATATTGCATTAGTTCATCACAGAGCATCAAAATGATGGAGAAGACAGAAATCTCGTACAGAAAAAGGAAATGTTACAAAGGGCATTAAATGAAATTTCACAGGCAATGAGAAACTGTTGGCCTCTTGAAAATTTATATTTTCAATATTAAATATTGTAAGAATTTACAAAACTGTTTACTTTCCATCGATTTTGACATTGGGAAAAGTGTCCGCTTTATTTCATAAAACAACATCCTAATGTTTAAAAAAAAATATTGGTAATTTAAATATTCTACCCGATGACGGATTAATTCACTGTAGTAATGTGATCTGCATCCGTTAAATAAACTGTACTAATCTCATGATTGAAATAAATTAAATTATCGATTTAATTTTTTTTTTTTTAATTTAGGAAGGAGCTAGCCTAAAAAAAAAGTTTAAACGCTCGGCATTAGACCCAAACGTTAATGGGAGTATTGTGTTAGGTTTGACCTAGTTGGTTTGGGTTTTGGCCAGGTCCTGAGAAGAGAGATATGTAAGCCAACGTTGCTAGTGTTATTTAGTCCTTGATATTATTATTAATTAACGTTAAAAAACAAAATAATTTATTCGGTATTCATTATTTTGAACTAAAATTTATTTATTTTTAAATAAATAGCGATATTGTTAATTTACATCAACAAAATATTGTGGAGCAGCTAGGCATGTTTTTCAAATTCAGTTAGCGATCCGGTTAGAAGGATTTAATTAACTATTATATTTATAGTTGGCCCAAATCATTTGTTACACATCTCGCTTTTATGAGTTATAATTTTTATCAACACTAATGTCCCCTAATTATGTACACGTGGAATTTCTCCGGAATTATGAATCGGGCGCTGACTCGTGTTTGGCAACAGGCTGGCGTGGCCATTCTACAACGTCGTTTGTTTCCTCAGTTAAAATATCTTATTCCGTCTTGGCGCCGATGGAGGGAAATACACAAGTTAATATCTCAACTCCAGAGCCATTTGTGACAGTTTATTTTCGTGGACCGGATACCGTATCATATGAGGCCCTTAAAGAGTCCTCTCGTCTAGGAGACAAAGAAAAAAAAAGAGATGGATACTATTTTCCCGCCGCGTAGCGCTTAATTACGTCTTCTAGGCCGGAAGAAGAACGGTATGGAGAGGGATGTATCATGACTATTTTGAGATGGTGGTGAGAGGAATCAAAGGGGAGGATGTGTTGGACCGAAATAGACCACTCTGTCTATCCACCTCCTCTTCTATCGTTTATTTATTCTCTTTTCGGGGGTCACGCAGGGTAGCTTTGTTGGTTGTCTTATTTTCTCTATACCGCCGCTGGAAAGACATGAATTATTAAATTCTGTTCCATGTAAAAATGAGCTTACTTTGAATTGATCGACCATCACAAAAATCATTAGAAAAGATTTGTTAAATACGCACAAATTATTGTAGACGCAGCTACAAAAAAATACTATAAATAACAATGACGTGTGGCGGATACGAATTAACATATAATTAGGGAAACTATATAAGAATTCATAATATTATTACAGTTATCAAGGTTGGTCGTCTCCAGTTTGCTGGTCATATTGCAAGGATGACACCAGACTAGATACCTCGAATGATACTGGATGAAAAAAATCTATGCCACTAAAGTAGGAAGAACCCGATTTCGATGGATGGTGCATTAGCCGATGCGAGATCCATTCTGGGTATTCTTAACTAAAGAGCAGCAGCAACCCAACAGACTGGCAGACCAAATTGCTGGAGACCCTGAATCTTTTTGAAGGATTTTAAGTGCAAAGAAAGAACAAGAAAACAATATATTAGAAATGAGAAAATATGCTCTCATCCAGATAATGGTTAATTATCTCCGCCTCGGAATTCAGCATTCGCGTTATAAGCCCGTCTGTTTTGTAGTAATCTATGGCAGTATTTGAGACTGAAAGAATATCCGACCCCCTGTGTTATAAGTCATTTGTCACATAGTTTGTCAACCATTATCCCTTTTCATTTTGGTTGACAGAAATCATTGTATATTTCAGAATTTGGCAGAGTTCTCTACTCATACGATCATTAGTTTCTTATTAGTAATATATGGAAAGTCTATCAATTGAGGATTATTTGGAGCATCTATCTGAATCATTTGTTTAGTGGCTTTATTTTTATTGTGATGTTAATTTTCCATGTCTGTCTTTTGTTTAGTGGTGTGTTAAATATCGTATTGTCGGAGGTGTTGGAATCGGAATACTGTTAAAATCCACCTGGTAGCACAACCGAGAATATTATCAAGATGGTTTGGAGAGTGATGGACGGTTGTATCTTGGTTTTGTGGGATGTGGATATGCTCGGGTAGGTCATGAAGCAATGGTCCCTAAACACTGCAGAACTTCTGCTACAGTAGATAGTTCTTTATCTATTTTTACAGCGAAGTGTCTCTGTCAAGTATGGAAGTATTATTTAGTAGTAGGTTAGAGAAAGCAATATTTTGAGCTGTAAAGACTGTAGAAACTTTTTTTTTAATCCTTTACATTGTACAGCAACACGAAACCTCCAACAATTTAATTTAAACTTTTCTCACTTTAAATTTAGTTTCTGTAAATAATTGGAATATATTAGTATATAAGAAGTGGAGCAAATAATCAATTAAGTTCTCTAGTCCGTTGATAGTTAAATAGCGACATATGAAACTTTAAGCTATTTTTTGTTTGTTTATTTCTGGCCGATTTAAAATTACATTAAAAAAAAAACACTCTTTAATTATTACGAGAACTAAGATCAAATTGAAGTAATATATCTAAGAGAAATTGAGATTTCCTAGATTTTTTCTAAAATCTGTGATGCTTGCAAATGTTTTATTAAATTCAGAGGAATTGTGGAATGCTTTGATGTAACAGAGGTGTTTAGTTTATAGGATCGGTATGCACGTTTTGCTTTGAAATCCTTTTAGGATGAATCCGTTATGCCCTGCTCTGCACAAATACTTGCTAACTCTTTCATCTACCAAGATAGCCTAGAAATAATGATTACTCTAAAGGTGTGGAATCTAGATCCTTTCCTGGTCGCCCTACTTTTGATGATGATGATATAAAAATGCCGTTTTGAGTTTGCGTTTGGACTTGTGCCGCCTGGTACGAGGATGGGTGGGATCAAAAAGCGACTCGGCATTAGAGGGAGTTATGGGCTGTCATATAGCCCTGGCACGCGGGCCGCTACCGAAATACCTCCAACACAAATATAATATTACAATATTTTATGCCTGCAGGGAACGTTCTGGCCGCGACCGGTTGAGCTGCGATCTTGATCCGTTAATGGCGGCATCTTTAGCGAATAAATCTCTGCTGTCATCGCCGAGGAGTGCAATGTGTATCTAAGGCTGCGTAGATCATTTTCCTGGTGTTATCTCTTGCTAATGTTTGTTTGTCTTCGAGGAGTAGCTCACTGCTGCTAGCAAATGGTCTGCATTTGTCGTCCATCTTAAGCATTTGTTGTTATAAAGTGTGTTACTATAGTAACGTTTTGCTGGGCGGTTTAAATCACGTATCTCTATTTATACCTTAAAATACTTTTTTTTTTAACTGAGATTTATCATTAGTCTTGTAAATATTTTTTCTTCGTCTGAGTCAACCACTGAAGCATTAATGAGGATACTAGAAATGTTTTCTTCAAGTGCCTTGCCGATTACAGTCTTGTGTGGTCGAGATTCATGGAAAATGCTTTTCTCATTTTTGATGGCCAATTTGATTTATACTATATCGTTTTCAATAATAAACCTTTTTAATCGACAAAGAAACACAAAAGTTAACACCTCAAGTTTTGATTTATTACGATACACTGAATTTTGTCAGTCCACCGTTCCCGACTTTTCTCTAAAAACTACTGGGTGGGTCGATTGTTCCTCAAGAGAATTGTTGAAAATTATAAATCATATATTAGGGGTATTCATGCACTTGTTGTAAATGCTTGATGTGCTATCGTGCTAACTAGTGTTACCCAAAATCGGTCTTGGTCTTGCACTTCGCAAGACTAAGACCAAGGGCGCCTAACTGTTGCAAGACCAAGACCAGGACTGGTAAAAAATAGTTTTTTATTAAAATAATTTTTAATAAAAATTGAGGCAAAATAGTTACTAATACTTGACAAGCTTAGTTTTTATATGTTAATAATTGGTAAAACCAATATACTTTTGCATTAAACTCCTCTAATTTTTTATTCGGGCTTAGTTAGGTTTCTCCTATCTAAAAAATTACAGTAATATCTCTATAGTAATAAGGTAATAAGTAACTGCAAGACCGTTGCTAGAGTCTTGCGCAAGACCAAGACCATGACCAAGACTGAGTTTGCAAGACCAAGACTCGTTTCGGTCTCGCATTTGGACAACACTAGTGCTAACATGCTAAGGTTATGCCTGTAATGTATATAAAGTTTTTGAGTCCTTATTTGATCTACTAACGTTTTGATTTATTTATAAAATGCTAGAGCGAAATGAAAAGACTGAGTTGCTGGATTATTTGCTTAAAAATGCTTTATTAGAAAACATGAATGATCTTTCATATAATTCAGAAGGCAAAGAACTTGATAATTACATTGATGACATCCTATCTTCCTTTACATTTCATTTCTGTGAACATTGTACATAGATAAAGAATAAAGAGCGAAACACATCAACACCTTTCAATAACCTCCTCCGTGCTTTTACGAAGTTAACAACACTTTACAGGACACTAGACTGCGTTAAAATCGAGAGTGCTATCGGCCATACTTAACACCCATTTTGTCAATAATTTTCTCGACTTTACATATTACAGAAGTTAACAATACTTAACCCTAGTTGCCTGCATACCCCTATTGCACATTATAATAAAATACAAACGAAATTCTTACTTCTCAAGTATCAAAGCTAACGTTATTAATGCAAAATAATTACATCCATGATTATCCTTATTTTAAAATATTGATTTGACTCCAAAGTGAATCCAGCTACCGTAGTGTAGTTTTGTGAATTAATGGATTTGACATTTGACATCTTTAGTGAATACACTAAAATGATAAGAATAAGACGGCTCCTAATATTTTATATTTTTGTAAAACAAAATTTGGTAAAATATACATAAAATAATCCTGCCTTAAAATTTTTTCCATATCTACAATTTCAAAAGTATGAACATTATGGAGCTACAGGATTTACTAATACCACAAAAAAAAAAAAAAAAAAAAAAAAAAATGTATGACCAAGAAATATTTATTTTCTCATATATATTGGATATTCATGAACATAATTAAACTTAAATTGTATTAATAAAATACAAGAAAAGATATTGTTTGGAATGACCAAGTATTGTAGATACAACACTTGAAAAACTTATAAACATTTGGAGGTAGTTTTTAATAAAGAATAGAAATATTTTGTTAAGTAAATAATTTTGAAATATGTTTAGCCTTTTTGTTTACTTAAAGTTATGTCTTATATATTTTTTTTCTCTCTCTTTAAAGTTATTCAGTAAAGAAAGTTATTCTTCATTGAAATGTATTATGCGAAATAATACGTTATGTGCATCTAATGTTCTTCTTTTTATTTTTATTTTTTCATATCCTCAGTTGTTATTTTTTTTCTTATTAAAAATTCATAGTTCTTAGACTATCTAGTTAAAGTCAATCCTATTCTATCTTTTTATATTTTCCAGTTATGCATAACATCCACGTTTGAGTCCTTTGAAACGGGTTAACGATCTGAAAGTTGATTAACCATTCAAGGCCTGACTCTTGAAAAAGAAATGACACTATTTCTAAGAGAAAAACAAGTCTTATTACTTCTTGTAAACAAAAACATCATTTCGGAAAAAAATCAGTAATACATTTTTTGGACGCAATATCAGAACACATGTTATATTTATGTGTATAATTTCATGAAACAAATTTTTATACTTGCATAAAACATAAGTCGTATAGGTTCCCCGATATATTTAAAATGAAATATACTGTTGTTTTTGAATCTACTATATTTAATAGAGTAATTAATATAATACGTTTTGTTTGTTTATTTCAAAGGAAAAAGGTTCATGCAGTTCGAAAGGAGAGACATAATATTTTCTTTTTTAAAAATTTTGTTTATAAAACGTGTAGTATTTTAAGAGGTTCTTATATTTAGTTCCCTTACAGGGGTAAATTGCTTCCGTTTTTAATTCTAATGATTTTTACTTTTTATCAAGAGTTTCAAAAAGTGATGCTGATTCTCACTACCGACCAATAAACTTTACTAGTTTACTATAAATATAAAACAATTTTTTTTTTTCATTTTTAAATTAAGGAGGCTGAGTAATTAAATAAACTTCAGACTTTTCGGATTCTTGTTAGTGGTTGAAAAAAGTAGAGTAACCCACTTTGATGTTCTTAATTGTGTAGGTCTGTATTGTTCATTTTAATTTTTTTTTCCTTAAAAAATATATTCTGACTTAGTTGTATCACATCTGTAGAATTGTAATTTTCATCACGATTGAGTATAATTATAATATGCGGTATAATTTTTATTATGATTTGATCATAGTTGATTTTAATATTTTTCCATAAATCTATTTGTTTGCTCTGCGTTATTAGTCATTAACCATAATTGATTCTAGTTATGATTCACGTATCAAACATGCTGCTGACAGTTTCAATTATATTGGTAATTGAATTAAGATATATGATACCGAGAGAGGCCCATATCATAAATTGAATTGACTGCTTTTCAAAATTAATTATTCTCAGTTATCTACAAATCCATGTACTTACTTATAAGAGAGAAATGCTACGTATTCATTACTAATTATTTAAATAATCGAACTACCATTTAAGATAGAAATGTTAATTTATTATCTTTGATTTATGAAGAAGTATTGCCAATTTTTATTATTAATTTTTCCATTAACGAAACGTCAATAATTTTTCTTGATTTCTTACTAAAAATATGATAGAATTCTTATTCATTAATATTTCTTCCAAAGCTGGTTTAGGAATTAATTTCTTAAATATTTAGTTAGATTATATAGTTATTTTGCTGTTTTTACACCATTTAACAATTTTTCCAAAATAAGTTTTAACTAAAACTACCTACTAACTGACAAAAAAGTAACGGTTCTTTAGTACTTGGAACGTACGTTACTTTAATCTGCTCCTAATTTTTCCTTCAAATTCCTTAAGAATGAACAGCTGCTTTACTTATCAGTTGAGATATACAATGCTAACAGGACGTGTGCAGTCTAAACATCCTCACCCCAATATAGAAGGCCGTGGCCATTAAATGGTTAGGTGCATCTGTTTTTTTAATTGAAGTATAATTCGAAAAATTATTCATATTTTTTTAAAAATTATATCATATATAAAAGAAGTCTAAACAAATAATTTGGAAAACTTATTACATTTGCACTTGCGCCTCAAACATTGAGATATTATAGTTAACTCATATTTTAAATTATGTCCGTGATATATTGAAATAGTAATGAAACATTTTAAACACTATTGTAAATAAGTGACCTATTAATATGAATAAAGTGACAGGAGCAAATATGTAACAATAAATACCCGAACCAATATAGCCCATAAATGTTCATTAATCCAGCTTATACTTTTGAAGTACATTGAATCTACTTATTTTGATACTGAAAAATCAATCAGGATCATTTTGCTGAAACCTAGTGGTATACTTGAAAAGATGAATATATTTTATGGTCACTTCATTGAATTTCCCCCCTCCCCCTTTAATTAATTTATGTTTTTTTTTATTACATATTTATTGTTTTGGAAAAATCCGCTACCAAATCATGATATTATTACATCTTGTTGATAACAGTTTCAATAAATTTAACTTCTAAAATTATTTTATTATTTAGGTATATTTTAATATTAAATTATGTTAAATATTATCTATTAAATAATTTTTATTTTTTATTGTTACAGGTATGTTTCCTGAAAAGTAGTCGAATCCATTAGTTAGGTATGTTATAAATATATATTATTACTACAAATATATCCACACGATTTAGAAATATGTCTGTTTTCTCACTTTCATCAGATTATTATAACATTTTTTTATTTTATCTTTGTGGTGTTTACTATTATATTTAAGAACTTTTAGAATGATGGTAACAAATTAGTTTGTAATTCTAATGAGAGCGCTTTAGTTCCGTTTAATTAACCGATTGTTAATGCGATCAACTAATTTACAATTTGAAACGGAGTTTCCAACCTTATTTCCTGTTTAAAAAAACACCAGGATGATTTTATTGCGGGACTGCTATCGAAAAAAAAGTAGCTCTTATGTATTTTTTTACTTGAAATGCTTT